AAGAAAATAGATTTGAATTCACTGAAGCGAAACATTTCTTTGTCAACTGACCATTGTTTAAACAATTCGAAAAAGGCATCCGTGAACGCCGATGCTATTGCCGTAACTATTGCTATTCCTTACGAGCATTTGAAAAGTTGGTACGATTTAAGAGCGAAAGGCATATTCACCGAGACATTCGTTGAGATATTGAACGCTTTTATATTCCAGAATGGAATCAAACTTTCGCAAAGCGATAGAATAGAGGGCAGGTTAAAGAAAATTTGTGGAGAGATTAATAGCAAGAGGAAAAAGTTAAGAGGTCGTGCAAATGAAGAATTCATGCAAAATGTTAAAAATATTACAATTTTTCAAGATGAGATTGTCAAGCCAGCCGAGGTTGAAGAGCAAGTAAACGAGAAAAGTGAGAAAGTCGAACTGTTATCAAAAGAAAATGAGAGCCTAAAAACCAGATGCAATGATCTATGGACAGAAATTGTAAAGTTACAAGAGAGTGAGAGAAAAACTGATACAATTTTAAACAACAAGGAGAAAGAATATAACACTGTTTTGGATGAGAATAGAGAGCTAAGGGATTACATTGAGAGGTCTGGATGTTTGGTGGAAGTTAAAAATACCGGAAAAGAAATAACTGAAGTGGGAAAAGGGCAACAAGATCGAAAACTAAAAGAACTTAAGTCATCGGTCGAAAGAAGTCCCTGGTTTGCAAAAACTTTTGGCTTAATATTGGACGCGGCCACTTTTACCGATAAAGGTGGGTCCAGTTACTCATTAGCATACAGTAGCCCATCAGGAGGCAAAAGCTTTAAAGATCTCCCCGAGCAGGAAAAATCAAAGACAAAAGATATCCTTTATATTGTTGACAAATTTTGCATTGGTGAAACAACTTACCATGAACTGACCATGACCGCAACCGGTGCAGCGTTACCAAGGTCGCACCTGATTAAGCAATGCAAGGAGTCACTGAATGCATTAACCCACATTGAAAGAACACCAGGTGATGCAGAAGGAGCACAGCACAATTTTTATGAAACTCTGTGCATGGAAATTCAGAAACATGTAAGTTGTAAAATAATTGCAATAATTAAAGAAAAAATACCCCGGCAGATGGGCATGCTTCAATTTGACTGCTGTATTGATACATTTCAATTATCTCCAAATATTTACCTTCCCTTTACACATTTTCCATCCTGACATACATGTCAGTGATGATTATGTGAAATTGATTTACCACCCCCTCTCCTCTATAACCATCAAGCATGTTAATTTTGATAATTTGTTGAAAGAATAATTATATATGCATTAACCCATTGAGTCACATTGCACCCTGACGCGGCGCCCTACTTAAGTATTTTACTCTGTCTAACGCCAGACGATTTTACTCGTCAAGGGGAGAGCGCTGGCACTTAATGGGTTAAGATAGTGCAATACTTATATATTCCACTTCTTTCTCAGATGAAAGTGCAAGGAGAATGGTGTAGACATTCCAGCAAAATATAAAATAAAAGTAAGTGGCGATGGGGCAAGAATGACCAGGCTAACTGGTTTTATCGTCATTTCCTTTTCGGTGTTGAATGAAGGGAAGGCTGCATTGTCTTCTAAAGGTACGAGGCTGCAGCTTTGTCATGCTGTTTGTTTAATTTATTTAGTATTTATAGACATATATTAGGCTATAAACATCATTATTTTTTCAAGTATTCTTCAGTGGTAAGACAGAATTAAAAATATGTGTAACTGAGTAAGCCGCATTGCGCCCCACTTTGTTCTTGTACTCAGTCTAACACAGGACAATTTAATTATTTTGCGGGGAGTGTTGTACTATATAATTAGTTAATCTGTTAATTAATCAACAAATTATGCTCCAAAAATGATTATGCCCAAACAGACTGTGAGGTTGAGCAATGTTGTTTAGTACATAATTAATGTTTACAATTAAAATTGAAATTGAAGATTTTTTCAAGTTTATTCATTTGTGACCAGCTTATATCACACTGAATAATATTGCTCAAATGTTGACTGTGCAACTTTAAATTTACTTCCTCTCGTAGAAAATCATGTTGTTGCTGTCATCAAGGGCAAGGAGTCTTACGAAATTCTGCAGTCATCGTGCAGCAATATATTCAAGGACATAAACAAAATTGTTGAAAATGGCTTTGTAAAACTTGAAGATGATCAAGTACCAGTGGAGATGTTTGTTGGTGGAGACTACAAGGTATGTTTTGATAATTATTGATTATTTGTTTTCACACAGTTTGTTAGGGTTTTGTCCCATTTTGCTGAACATAAAGGTACATCTCAAGATCTCCTACCCTTAGGTGCCAAGCATGTATCTCAAGGTTCTTGCAGTTCCTAATAAACAAGCTTTCTGAAATGTTTGAAACTCCATTTTGGCACCCATCTTCCCTCTCCACATGCATATCAGAAATGTCATGTACCGATAACAATTACTATTATTAAAATAATTATAAAAATAATAATTAGTAATAATAATACTGTAATAAAATTTATTATTATTATTATTGTTATTATTATTATTTATGATAATTATTATTATTTATGATAATTATTATTATTTATGATAATTATTATTATTAATAATTATAATCATTAATTATTATTATTATTTGTAATTACTTTTTTTCAATATGCTGAACCATAGTTCCTTTTGCTATTGTTGGGCATGAAAGGTGCCGTATCAGATTATGCCTGCATCTGGTGTAAGATTAACAAAATGTTACGGTAAGATTAATACCCTAGTTTGGCAATTGGTTTATATTTCATTCAAGTTAGTTACTTATAGTTTCAGTTAATCCCAAGTTTCAGTTTGATGGTGTTAAATATTAAAATTTTATCAGTTCAAACATGTAACAAGTTACATATTATCAATGTTAATTAAGATGTGACATGACAAAGCCAGAAGACTTTTATCGTTTGGATGATATTCGCAGGACTTTGGCTGATATAAGGAGATGTTGCCTTAAACTTCAATTCTCATGCGAACGCCCTCCTGTCCTCAATATTCCATTGGAAAATGTTGTCCTGGATGAGCTTCATTTAATGTTGAGAATTACAGGTATGTTTGTGTCCTAAGGAATTTTAATTCATCACCTAAAGATTCTACATAAGGTTATGTCTTATATACTGCATGTAATTTAATAACAGACATGCTCATTGGAAATCTGGTAACTGAAGCGATTGAAAGGGACAAGAAAGACAATATAAACAAAGCACCTTGTGATCGCCAACCGTTTCATCTTAACAACTTGGTCGAGACTATATGTGGTTGTGGGGTGTCATTTTCGGTGTGGGAAAAGCCAAATGCTGACGGCAGAGGAAGTGGAGTTTATGACTTTACTAGTCTGATGGGAACAGACAAGAAGATTCTTCTTGAAAAGCTACCATCAAAACTATATACTGTCACCAGTCCAGAAACAAGTGCTACAGTCATTAAAATTTGGCAGGTACAGACTTAGACTTGTGATTTAGAAATAAGAACCCAATGGAAAGGCCAATAATTATGCAAATCAAACAAAAAGCTATCACATGTGTTTTGTAAAATTGACTTTCCTTTCACAGGATTTCAACCATGTCTACACCGACTACATTCAGAAGCCAGCACTAACAGAGAATGAAATCGACACATATTTTGACAAGGTAACATTGACATGTATTTACCTTTAAAATGACAAGACCAGTGTATTTGGCAAATGAGATTAAATAATTGTCTCTTTTTTCCAGGCTAAATCATGGGTGACACTGTTTCTATCCTTAGGAGGGGTACTACAAGGCTATGGCAAGGCTAACATCACTCCGTATATTCATGCCATGGTCTACCATGTTCCACACTTTATGAGGATTCACCAAGGAATCCGGAATTTTTCTGGACAAGGTGGGTATAAAAAAATAGACGCTTTTATCTGATTTTGCTTGGAGAGAACTGGGGATACAGCCTTATATGCTGTTTATTTTTCATCACCGTACTGTTAGATATGAAATGATAATTGAACATGTTCAATTAAATTCTTTGTTATTTCTTTTTACTGAATAGGTGTTGAAAAGCTCAATGATGACTGCAGGAGAATTCATCTACAAAAGTCCAATAAGTGGGATGCAACCAGAGATGTTTTTTTAGTTGAAGAACGGCTGCGGCATTTAAGTGACCAACAGCGAACTCCAAGGCAATATAAAAAGACTGCGACAGATTATTGGTCGAACGGAATCAGAGAGAGTCGTAGCAAGCGACCTCGTTTGTGCACTCAAGCTGAGAACGATGAAGATGATTATTCTCATCTTACTCAGGAAGATCTTCGATCCCGTTTGAAGGATCTGGGAGTGAAAACCAGATCGAGTTAAAAACATTACGAGGCTCTGTGATATGTATCGCATTGCATTGTAATCTTCGACAACATAGTTAGCATGAGCCACTATTGTATTACAACACATACCTAACAAGCTAGACCCTGAATGCTCAGTGCCGTAACCAACCTGAAATTTTGTCCTGCTATGCTAATATTTTTGTGTTTATTGACTGTGAAAACAATCAATTTCTAAAGAAATGAATGATAATAATTTTGAATTTGCATAGGGGGACTAAATTGTCAGACTGGCTATGTCACTGCAAAAGCTCAAAAGCAAGGCTTTTTGTCATTCTTTAATTATATATTGTAATATATTGGTAAGTGCAGGCTTTATACATGTACTTATTTTCATCATATATTATCCATATTACATGCTCGTTTAGCAAAAGAAAGTACAACCTTTTTTATTGGCATTTTTGGTGCCATGACAAGCTTTCCACTTTTTACGATATAACTCAACGCAGTCCAAGAAACGAGTGGCTTCGCCTTTAATGGAAAGTCTATTGAAACGCCTTCACCATGTTGATTGAGAATGAAGCACCAATCATCAGGCAAGCCCTCAAACCGTCGAAAGTCCTCTCTTTCAAACAATATGTGCCCTTTGTGATTGGACTTTCGTCCTTGGTTGCAAGTAATATACCGCCACACATCCAAATCCATGTCGACATAGATTATCGCAGTTGACTTTGATTTTAAGCCTGACTGAATAGCATGGAGAAAATTTCTGCAAGATTGTTCAAATCTTGTTTTATCCGGCCTGGATGGTTGATCATAACTCCTACAAGTTAAAAGGAACAATTGTAGCAAATTAAAATATTAGAATTATATTAATTTGACTGTACTGCCTATATAAATATATAAATATATATACATATATACAATAAACACTTGAAAAATAATGGACTCAATAGCAATTAATATCATCCATACCTTAATAGTGTGAGATTTAAATTCTCGGACGGCTCCCACGAGCAGCTGTGGAAGGGCCATCCTTGCCACTTGATGAGGTACTCGTAATCCTAAAATATTTCATTAAAATAGCCTTGATGCTGTCTTTTAATATTGCAGGGGGATTCATTGACACGTATTATGGCCATGCATTATACTTCTCAAAAGATAAGCAATATTCACACAGAATGTATCGTTTACCTGTGACCTTCTTCTTCTCTCAATGATTCTCTCAACTGCGTAAAATTTGGATTTTCTTCTCTTCGGCGCGGTGTCATACAGTACGGCAGAAGAAAAAGAGTTTAACTGACTGTAATCTACACTGCGTGTACGTTTCCTGCTGGCAGCCATTTTGCATTCACAATTTGTTTTCACGCGACACTCCGCTGTGCACTTAGCAGGCGCATGTCTTAAATTTCTGGCCATGCAGTTGTGTCAGGCATTTTTTACTGATATAAATATTGTAAAAGAAGTAAAAGTCTGCATGTGTCTAAAAAGATTTTTTTCAAGCATATTATCGTGACACGACCAGAAAAAATACGAAAATATAAAAGGCACATACCTTATTCATTGTCCTTTTGGTAGAAAAACGTTGGTTAAATCAAAACAGATTCATTTTTATGTGTTTTTGATCGAATCTGAACATGAACCTGTCGTTATCAGAAGTGACTGAATTTGTCAAAGCCAAAACGCCAGGGTTAAAACGTTTTATTCCAAAGCCTTTCTGCTACCATATTTATGAAAAAAAATTAATTTATGTAAATAAGAAATAATAAAGGACCTAGAACTGAACTTTGGGGAACTCCACATTTGACCTGCACTTCACCAGATAAATAACCATTAACATAACATTGTTGGGTTCTATCAGTAAAATATGTTTTAAACCAATGCAATGTTTTATCACAGATTCCAAGAAAACTTAATTTGGTTAATAATATATTATGATCAACAGTGTCAAAAGCCTTTTTAAATCTAAAAATTTGATCATACCTTTATCAATATTGTAATACCACTAGTTAGTTAAATCCAGTAATGCAGTTACAGCTGAATGCAGTGACCTAAAACCGAATTGCCTTGAATTAATTAGATCAAATTTCATTAGATATGCATAAATCCGATTATAGACCAATCTCTTAAATAAAGTAGAAATACCAAGCAAATTTGCTTGAAAATAAAATAAAATGCTGCGATTTTTAATATCTTGTTCGAAATATAATAATAATAATAATAATAACAATAATAATAATACTGGATTTTAATAGTATACATGACTAAGATAACTTAATTGTCATGTATTTATATACGTAATACTACTAATCTATTAAGGTGGCTCCCTACAGTTATTCTTGTTTAAGCAATAATTCCGTAGAACAGGCTTATTCGTGCAGAACGCGAATTCTTTTCGACTTGGTGGTAATATTGGTCACCTAAGGAATATTTCGAACTAGATTTCGACGATGTCAATGTTCCCATGGCAACATGACGACAGCATAAAGCCTTCCAATTTAACCCATAAATGTGCCGCTATCTCAAAAACGATGTCGGTGACCTATCTTTTTTATTTCATATATCAATAAGGAATGATGCTCTGCAACTGTGGTGAAAGTTTAAAAAAATTCTGTAGTGTGTGATTTTTTTAAAAGCGAAAAATTTATTGCGAAATTTCCACACTACAGATTTTTTTAAAATTTGAAATTTATAAAATTTACCGCAAAATAAATTCGTGGTCAAAATTTGAAGATAGGTCACCGATGAAACTAATGAGTAAAATGCAAATAAAGTTAGAAAATAGCCTCGTGTAACTCGAGAAATTCCCCTGTTGAAAAGCGTCGCTGACTAGTAAAAGATTGTACGCGGGCGCAGAACGAGTTTTCATTCAGCAAAATCGAGCCGCACTGTTTTTACTGTTTTGTTTTTGTCAACTTTTCGATTTATTTGAGTGCTACGGACAGCCAAGGATTATTGTGAAGGATTAAATCGATGAAAACAAGGTTGAAGCTAATTGAATCCTGCCGTTTACTCAATCTATGAGCTGTAACAGCCTATTAACAGGTGGACGTGTTTTTTTTTTCATGTTTGGTTTTGTACTTTTTGCTAAAAATGAACAATTAGGCTATGAAACTGAAATATTTTTCTGTTTACATATAATCACTTTAATCTTGTAGAAACACGACTAAAAACGTGAACGTTTTCTTGAGAAGTAAACAACTTTTTAAACGTTTGTATGCAATTTTGCAAATGTTTTACAGTTGACAATGTATATTTTAAAAACATTAAAAAACATTGTTTCGTAGCTATTTTTGGTCTAGTGGTATTCGTATCATATGTAGAATTGCTGTATAGACTCGCAAGTAATTTGGCACTCAAAACGAAGTATTATTCAACGCTTTTTCCCATTAGAAACCTTTCAGAAATAGCTTTTTTTAAAAAAAAATATTTTGTTTTGTTTTGATCATGCGGTTGCGTGGGATAGTTCACGTACTGGTCCCGCGAACATCCCGCACGCAACTGTAGGGAGCCTCCTTAAAATGTTCAGTATTAAAACTATATCTATTTAAATCGGGTAAGAACATTATATATTATATTATTGTATTTATCAATAGCATAGGCTAGTGGACTGTTCTTAGAACGAGCAGTTCTACTTTTAAAGTTATAAAATTTGTTTCTATTGGATCAAATTTTATAACATTAAAAGTAGAACTGATCGTTTTAAGATCGAACAGTCCACTAGTCTATGCTATTGATAAATACAATAATAATATATAATGTTCTTACTAGATTTAAATAGATATAGTTTTAATAACATTTTAATACATTAGCAGTATATATTACCTATGTAAATGCATGACAATTAAGTTATCTTATTCCATGTATACTATTAAAATCCAGTATTATTATTATATGTATTATGCATCTGGCCTTAGAAATGTCGAGCTTCTTCAATAATTAATTTTAAAACTTCTTCATATATATATATATATATATATATATATATATATATATATATATATATATATATATATATATATATATATATATATATATATATATATATATATATATATATATTTATATATTAAACAAAACATTAGATCAAAATAAGGTTAAATATGTATTAAACAAAACATTAGATCAAAATAAGGTTAAAGAACAAATGGAGCGTGGTAGTTTTAAAATTATTGATAAAGATCCCTCGTTAGATACATTTAAGGATATTAATGAGTGGGTGGAAAAGTGGAAACATTTAGGTTTATCGGATAAGTGGGTAAAATTTATTACCGGTGCCACTGATGTTCATCCTGGAATAAATTACCCACTTATTAAAACACATAAAGCCAACAACCCTGCTAGAGTGATAACCTCAGGTTGTGGGACTCCCACCGAGAATTTGTCTCTCTTTGTGGAAACATACTGTAAAGTGGTTGTTGATTCTATTGAGTGTAGGGTTAAGGACATGGTACATATGATTCAAATAGTGGATGAGCTTAATGACACCGGCATATTAGAAAGTGATTTATTAGTAAGTTCTGACATCGTGAATATGTTTCCATCTATTAATAATAAAACCGGAGTGGAACGGGTGCGTAAAAAGCTTACACAATTTTCGGAAAAATTTGATGTGCCTGTGGAATGTATAATTGCGGCCTTGGAGATCTGCTTCTATAAGAATTGTTCCACATATCAGGGACAATATTGGCTACAAACAGATGGCACTGCAATGGGTCCGAAGAATTCTTGCTCATATGCAGATATTGTCGCTGAATGTGTTGATTTAAGAGTTATAGAATCTAAAATAAATTTTCCAGAATTGCGGGTTTGGTTTCGTTTTAGAGATGACACATTTGTGCTTTGGAGCGGTACAGTACAAAGGCTTAATACATTTTTTACTGCCCTCAATTCTTTTGATCAAAACTTACAATTTACAATGGACATCGGTGGAAAGTCTTTGAATTTTTTAGATTTATCTATTACCAATCAGGGTAATTGTTTAGTTACATCGGTGTATAGTAAGCCCACAGATGCCCATGTATATTTAAATGCCAAATCGTGTCATCTGTTAATTTCAAGGAGTTATTTTAACTCCACCATAGGAGTTAAAACTACTCAACTCGGGAGAGTAAAAATTGTGGAGTAAAATCTACTCCCAAAATAGAGTTAAAACTACTCCACTTCTGCGCGCATTCTACAATTTACTCCATCAGGAGTCAATTTAACTCCGCTGGAGGAGTAAATTAAACTCGCTTTTAGGAGTAGAAAATATGGAGTAATTTGTACTCCTTAATTTTACTCCAGGGGTCGTTTCAACTCCCAAAAAAGAGTAAAATTGTTCTGGATCTGGAGTAAATTATTACAATATATAATTAATGTGCCTGAGAATCCAAGAGTTTTTCTGCTGGAGGCTATACTCTATTAAAGTATTGAATACAGTCAGATGCGAAAAGCACGAAGTTCGAGATATAAATTCTTTTTTTTTTAATTTTCCGTTTTTGGTTACTCGAATGTTGCTAAGTCAGATTGATGCCATTGATGTATTATACTGTATATCGGCTTCCGTCTCACGCGGCGATCGAATGTAGCCAGAAATTGTCAGCGAGTCATCTATATTTTTTTATTTGCTGCCTAAATCTGTAATTGGAGCGTGTGGAATGTTCTGCTGCTGAATATAATTTGCGACAAGTGGAAGTTCCAGATTTTCAACCAATTAGCATGTTTAGAATATATCACGTGTTGTAGTAATTCGATCAACCTCGTTCCCAGGCTCTTTGCTCTTGGGAAGCAAGAGCAAAGAGCAAAGAGCCTGGGAACGAGGTTGTAATTCGATCTGGTTCACACAAAGACCAAGCGCCAAGTTGGCAAGTTCAATCCTTCGGGAGCAAACATTCAAATGTGAATGATATTTATTCACATTTTCTACTTATAAAGTTGCAAAGACCTAATAAGATACATGGAATTTGTTTTCAAAGGTATGTTTATTGTGTATTTACTTATTTGTGTGCGGAAAGTTACTTGATATACTGTATAGTTATATTTTTAAATCGAAGACGAAGGCCTGTATTTTAGTCGCTTCGCCGCCGATTTGCCGATCTAGACGTTCAGTTTTAATTTTCGATTAATTTGTATTAGCAGAAGTCCATAAGTCTAATCCACAGTCTCTACTTATATGTGTTGTTAGCCCCGTTTACACGAGCAAATTTTATTTGACAAATTTCACTTCATCAAAAGCATTTGTTGTCACAAATTTATCATTTACACGAGCAAAATATCTCTGACATATGAAATTTGTCAAATAAAATTTGCTCGTGTAAACGGGGCTTTATTTGTGTGATATACGTGTATGTTGTATTTCGTGTTAAATATGTATACTTTAATTAATATATTATTATGTGATCTGTTTGAAATGCAGTCACATTTGACAGCATTGCAATAGCCCATCTAATATTACCCAGTGTATGGCTTCTGCTTGCTATGGTAGCCCTCCTATCGGCTATCAGTCAGCCTAAAACATGTGTAAGGGGCTGCTTATATAGAGGCGAGCCACCCAGGTAACCTGGTTATAGCTCGCTTTCCCTGGATGAATGTCTGGTTACATGAGCCTCTTTAGATGGGCAGGCTTGCCAAAACAAATCACCCAGACTGAGTTATATAGTACAAGCACATTTCCCAATAAAGTGAACCAACAAGTGATCAATCACTCATACTTTTGCAGACAGTCTCGAAATGTATAAACTGACAAAAACAATCACAGAGATCTTTTTACCCAGCTGGGCCCGGGGATAATACCGTGCCAAATCGTGGGTGATTGTATATAATTTATATGGAAAATCCTAGCTTGGCATTAGCAAGATTTTGGGACAATGAATTTTGGGTCAATTATGCACTTCTATTTTAAACACCCTTTACCAGAAAAGTTGTATTCATTTGGATGATGTTAGTTCAATTGCATGCTTACATTAAATGAGTAAAAGCATTTCAATTTCTTGCTTTGTATGTATGCAAACAACCAAAAATAGCAAATTCATTGTCAATCAATCAATAATTTTTATTTTGTGTGTGTTGGTGTTATGTACTCAGGTGAATATATAATGTTTGTGATGTTACTGTGAGTGTGCATCCACACTGGGCAAGCTGAAAAGTTAGCTTGGCCACAGTGGGAATCGAACCAGTGACCGTGGCCAAGCTAACTTTTCAGCTTGCCCAGTGTGGATGCACACTCGGTGAGAGAGTCAGTGGCGTAGCCAGCCCGACAATTTAGTCCCGCTATGCAAATTCAAAATTATCATTATTCATTTCTCTAGAAATTTATTGTTTTCACAGTCAATGAACATGAAAATATTTGCATAGCGGGACCAAATAGTCGGGCTGGCTACGCTACTGGTGAGAGTAACATCGCCAACATCATATATTCACCTGAGTACATGACACCAACACACACAAAATAATCGTATCATTGAATACCCCTGTACACTGATATCGAAGGAACTACACTCAGTTCCAAAATATCATCAACTCGAACAGACTTGACCATGTAGCTCAGTTGTCAGAGCATTGGACTAGTATCCCAAAGGCCGCAGGTTCGATTCCCACCGTGCCCAAACTAACTTTTCAGCTTGCCCGGTGTGGATGCACACTCTGAGTAACATCACAAACATCAATCAATAATTTGCTGCTGTTATATATCAACCTTATATATTTTTTTCTTACTAGGGATTCTCATTAATGGACTAATTTATTTTTAAAATAAATTGGGATTAATATGGCGCAACATCCCCACTTACAAAACCTGTTAAAATCCCAAAAGATAAGCTAAGAAAACAGATATCCGGCTAAACTTATTAAACTGATCTTCTTCTGGCAATCCTTGCCCAGTCTACGACACTAATGGCATTTACTGCTAAGCCTACATGCTTTGGTTATCAGCAAAACCAGTCAAAAACCGGCTCAAGCTCATTCTGTACAAAACTGCTATCGAGTAGACATCAACAAAAAACCCACCCACCCAACCCTCAAATCAGGGACAGGGAGTAAATAGCAAACATTTGTATTCATATCTAACTATTCAATGGTGAAAGAGACATGTAAATATCGTACATCCAATTTGTAACTAATTCTACATATTTTGAGAAATAAACGGAACGGGGCGGAAGGTGGTGTCCATTCGGCCACACTTTGCCCACGGTGAAGCACACACACACCAGCAAGGAGAGCAAGGTCCATAACGCCGGGGGCCCCTTACCCTCGACCTGACCTTGGCTCTCTCCGTTTCTCTCACTTCACCACGGGAAAGCCAGGCCCGGACATGGGATTCAATGTCCATAACGGTGACTGGGCCTATACCCTCATCCTGACGTTGTTTCTCCAGCTGTTCTGGGAGGCCTATACCTCCCAGAAACCGCACTTTTCCGCCACCCAATTTAGGCCACAAAGGATTTGCGTGAATTATTAAATGCAATATAAAAGACATTGTCTAACCTTGCGTCTAATTCGCCTTTTAATCTAATTTTAATGTAGTATTATACAATTGTATTCAATAGAATCTTTGTAGTGGAGGTACACGCAAGCCTATAAAAGATCAAAATATCTTCTCGACGTTTCGAGCAAAGGCCCTTCGTCAGGAGCGACGCTGAACAACCACAAGACTTATGTATTTGATAAAGTTCCTTTTATTTTTAATATCCAATACTATCATTCTCAACAAATATAAAACCAAGTATATTAAAGGCAATATAAGACATTGTCTCACCTTGCGTGTATATAAAATCACCCTCGCAGTTTTAATAGCATTATTATATGTCCTCCAGCCTTTCGACCACAGTTTGTACCGTCGGATAAACGCTAACCCCAATTTCATCCCTCATTAGCTATTTGATTTGTAGCATCTGTTGTGTTAGAACAATCGTATACAACATATCTAACAGGCATTTCGAAGCACAAAGTATACAAATTTTCATTGCACACAATAGATATTTATTGTAATACAACATGAGTCGATTCACTTCCGTCCCCGGTGTGACATCACAAACCTGATTCGTACTCAGCCTCTTTTCTCCCGGCCATGTCTTGAAAAACCCTATTTTTTTGCCTGTTTGATCTAAATTATCTCTGGAAGTATTTATCCGATCAAGGAATGATATATATCATTCGAATTGTCTAAATTGTGCTGATTTTTGGTGAAAAAATGGTATTAATGTCATAATTATGCACTTTAACGAAACGATGTCCAGTAACACTCCAAGAATCTCGGGTTCGTGTATTTCGTGTATATGGTGCCGAGACACCCTTTCCAGTGAAAGGTTTATTCACTGTCACTGTCTCATCGGAAGCGACCAACATTAGTACACAGGCAGAATTTGTGGTGGTCCAGAGCATGCATGGCCAAGAGTCAACCATTAAACTTAATCTCCTTAGAGTGGGACCGCCCACTATCTACACTGCAGTCAATTGTGTGTCCCCACAAAGCCCAGTGGACAGGATCCTGTCTAATCATGCCAAAGTGTTTCGAGGAGTGGGAAAGTTAACTGATTACCAGCTAGTCATCCACACTGATTCCAATGTGATGCCTGTGGCTCAAACTTTACGACGTACCGGCCCCATTTCATGTTCGAAAATATGTTGAGAAGAAATTGAAATTTATTTATTTTATTTTGAATATTTTTTTATTTGCCCATATAAAGCTAAATATATTTACAATCTATATTTTTACAAACATTAGGGGCTAGGAACCTTTATGAAACCCTATCAGGCTTTTATTCAAAGGCCCCTAGTTTAACAATATTAATTATTATATAAAAATAGTTAAAGCTTGTTCAATCTTGTCAAAGACAAAGTAAGAGTATTTACAAATATAGCGATTTGAATATAAATATACACAAGAGTTTATTATGTGAGATTACAAATGAAAGCCGTTAGGTATGTTCCAAGAAAAGGCTTTTCAACTTTTTCTTAAAAGTAGAATAAAACATAGTATTGCTAGTTCCTTTATCAAGAGAGTTCCATATTTTAACTCCCTTGTTAACAATTGTATGTTTTGCATAATTAGTTCTACTATAATTGACATGCAATTTGTTAGAATTCCGAGTATTGTAATGATGCACTTCATTGTTTTGTATGAAGTAGTCATTAACAAATTCAGGTAGATTTTGTAAATGTTTAAAACGGTACATAAATAAACAACTTAAATAGTCATTAATCTTAAAGATATTCAAGATTTTCAATTTTTGAAACAATGGTTCAGTGTGTTCAAGATAGGATTTAAAGTTCATCAATCTGATAATTTTTTTCTGTAAATTCAGTATTTTTAGCAGCCTTGTTGGGTACGTGTTACCCCATATTAAATTCCCATAAGTAAGATATGGATAAACTAATGCATAATAAAGTACATTTAATGTATTTTTGTTTGTATAATGTCGTATTTTTGCAATCAACGCCGATGCTTTAATAATATTTTTGACAACTGAGTTTATATGGTTTTTCCATGTTAGTTCTTGATCTATTATTACACCTAGAAATTTGACAGCAGTAGCCTGATGTATAATGTTATTGTTAAGTTGAATATTAGTATCAGTGTCACATTTTTTATTTTTTGATTTAAAAATGACGTACTTAGTTTTTTTAGTATTTATTGATAATTTATTGGCGTTTAGCCATTTAGTCACTTCATTCATTTCTTTTTGCATAACATGCATTAAAGATTTGAGGCATTTGTCAGAGTAAAACGCATTTGTGTCATCGGCATACATAACAAAAGAAATTATTTCACTACAGTTCTCAATGTCGTTAATATATAACAAAAAAAGTAGAGGCCCAAGAATCGAGCCTTGCGGAACTCCTGAAGATATTGTCATCTTACTTGACTTATGATCACGAAACTTAAGAATTTGCGTTCTTTCATGTAAGTAGTTTTCAAACCATTTTAAACAATTTCCTCTTATACCATAATGTTCTAGTTTTTTTAGAAGAATTTTATGGTTAACTGTGTCAAAAGCCTTAGATAGATCAAGGAAAATACCGATTGTGTATTTTCCTTCATCTATGGCCTTTGAGATTTTGTCAGTCAATTCAATAATAGCATGTTCAGTGGAGCGATTTTTCCTGAAACCATACTGGTGTTTAGATAAAATGTTTTGTTTTTCAATATATGAAATCAGTCTTTTGTACATTACTTTTTCAAGCAATTTCGAAAAACATGTGAGAACTGAAATTGGCCTATAATTTTCAAATAGACATTTTTCATTTGCTTTAAAAATAGGAGTAACAAGAGCTATTTTTAGTGTATTCGGTATTAATCCAGTTTCAAAAGTTAAATTGAAAATATGTGCAAGAGGTTTGCAAATCTCTTGTTTAATTGCTTTTACCATTTTGGCACTGATATTATCATGACCTGCACTTTTAGTTACATTTAAGTTATCAATCTCAGTCAAGATTTCATATTCTGTAACAGGTTCAGTAAACATACTTTCTCGATAGTTACCTTTGAGATAATTTTCAAATGGTATTGTGTCATTTTGTTGAATACCTTTGGCTAAATTCGGTCCAACGTTTACAAAATATTCGTTGAATTTGTTTGCAATCTCAATTGGGTCAGAATAATTAATATTTGAGTTCTTTTCTCTAAACGTATCAGGAAGCGCTTCCTTCTTTTTATTGTTTCGATTTAATATTCGATTAATGGTCTGCCATGTCATTTTGCCATTGTTTTTGTATTTAATAAACTGACTCTCAAAATAATCTTTTTTAGTTATTTTAATTAAATGTTTTAATTTATTTTTGTATTTTTTATACGTGGTTTCGCTCTTAACACTTGGGTTTTTGAGATACTTTTTATAAAGTTTGTTTTTAATTTCTATAGATTTAGAAATACCTTGAGTCATCCAGGGACTTTTGTCATAGTCAACAGTTCGTTTTTGCCTGTTTACCAAAGGAAAGCTCTTTTCAACCGCTTGTATTAGGTTATTATGAAATATGTTGTATGCTTTGCAAGGGTCATTGTTTTCAATAATGTTATCCCATGACATCAGTTTCATGGTATTTGAAAATGATAGAAGATTGTTATTGTTTATTATTCTTCGATGTTGCGAAGTTTTGCCTTCAGAATTATATATTTTCCTAGCTAAAGATGTAACATGAAAAATAGGAAGATGATCTGAAATATCAGTAAAAATTAATCCATTCTTACTGCTTTCAATTTGTTCAATGTCATTGGTGAAAATATTGTCAATTAATGTTGCGGTGTGTTCCGTTATCCTCGTAGGCTTAGTTATAAGAGGGAGAAATGATGATGTAAAAAGTTGCTCACTGAATCTGTCCGAAATGTCACAACTTTCAGTTTTTAAAAGGTCTATGTTAAAATCCCCCATTAAGTAAGTTATTTTTTTTGACTTGTCTATTTTTGTAAGAATTTTACTGATACCAGTTTCAAATATTTCAAATTTTCCGTTCGGCGGTCTATATATCGTGCCAACAATTATATTCTTGCCAACTGTTGTGACTATTTCAATGAAGAGTGACTCAATTACTCCTTCTTCATTAATATTAAGGTCAGGACGAAGTTTAAAGTTTAAATCATCTGAAATATACATTCCAACTCCTCCGCCTTTTTTATTGTCTCTGTTCGTGCAAACAAAGCTAAAATTATCAAGATTAAAATCTGTACAGTTTTCGTTATCAAGCCAAGTTTCTGTTAAACTAATTATTGAAAATGAGTGTTTTAGTGATTCTAACAGAATCTTAAAAGAGTCGAGTTTATTTACTATACTTCTTATGTTTAGATTCAAAATAGAAAAGAGTTTGTTATTTGATATGTCTCGCGAGACATCTTTTGGAAGATAATATTTGCATGAGATGTTATCAATGTTACTAAGCATATTATTGTCGCAGTCATTATTTCCGGCTCTATTTCCGGTAGTTGTGTGTTGCATGTCAAAAGGGTTGAATTTAAGTTGCATTAATCTATCCATATCTCTCTCGTTGGGAAGTCGGGAAAAATCTCCAAAAGTAAAATTA